TTGGAAAGAGGTTTTCGAACATATTTCTGCAATAGATTTCGCACGCATGGTTCACAATCAGGAGAGATGCTTCAATATATGCACATTTTTTATTTCCACTGAAAAGACTTCTCCAGGAAAGATTTAACAACCGGAACAGCATGTTTTCCGGGAACAATTCCTACAAAACAATTTCAAAAGGAATTTTTACGATGCTTTCTTTTATATGATTCTCTTAAACAAATTTCGATCACGCGGCTCACAATCACGAGACATAGAAAAAATTTTGATTTCGACTCAGGAAACATTCAACAAAGAGAAAAGTATCTTATCCGGAAAAAATCCCCACAACAGCACATCGAGAGGAATTTTTTGGAAAAAATTTTCAAAAGACATTTTTTAATGGTCTTCAAATGCATATCTTAAAATAATTTCGATAGAGCGATTCATCATTGAAACGAAATCTGAGTCAATATATGAAAAATTTGATTTCAACGAAAAAATAAACTGCAGAAAACATTCGACAATCTTATTTTGCCAGAAAAAATCAATAAATAAGGCCTAACATGAGGAAACTGACTCGACATAGGGACATTCTGTGATAAAATTGCAAATACATTTCAGGTCAAATTACAAGAAACAGATACTGTATTTCCAACCCTGAAATTGATGTAAGAAAAGTTCTTGGGCATTTCTCTCACCAAATTAACAAGACTCAACTGAGGGACATTTCAACTTGGGGACACTCTTGATGCACCAATTACGTCCACATCTCAAGGTCTCACTTGTACGTTCTCAAATTTAGCTTTGGAAACGCATCGAAAGTTTCAAAATGCGAGAGAAAAGGATTCTCTTCTGGGACATACTAAATAAGCATCATACGTAGTAAAAGGTGGCATCTTAAACATGCTAGCAACAATACTTGGAGAAACTCTGGTCCTGAGAGTGAGAGAACAAATCCAATAAAACGTGCCGAGGAGCCCAAAAATTCTAGTATATGTGTGTGTGTGTGTGCATCAGAACAGGGCTTAATTTCATTCTAGAGCCACAATTCAATTTTCCAGCGCTAGGAAAACCCAAAGGGGTGGATCCCTTCACCCGAGGTCCCCAACCTAACCCAACCCCCTCCTCCCCCCCCCCCCACTTTCCCGTTGCAATAACAATGAATTTAATTGCCAGGATGCAAATTCTGGACACACACGAGCGTGCACGGATGTAATACGTCCAGAACAATACGGGAAGAGTGAAATTTCAAAAGGGGAGAGATCCCTCGGCAATGAGCCGGCCCCAAGTACCCGGTCTTGTTTGCTCGTGGCTCAGGTTCAGGCAAACAGGTGCACGAGGGAAAATTCCTGCCCAAGTGTGTTTGCTCCGAGCTCTGCAATCAACAATAATGCGCCGTGCCTCTCTTGTCGACGCTTCATCATCTCCGGGAAAAGGGAGGATCATCTACCACTTGGAACTCTTCCTCGGAAGAGAAGAGATCCCCCCTCCCCCGAATTTGCATTCAACACAAAGTTCAAGACCCACATGAAACCTTAGCTTTCAAGTCCCTCCCCCCCCCCCACCGCATTCCGAAACGTTTAATTCATTCTGGTACGCGGAAATGATTTCTGAATCATGAGTCGCTTCTCAAATATTTGATTGTCCCTCATGTGCACTCCACGTTTTGTCGAGAAGATCTTGACATATAAGCTCGCCAACGAAATTAAAATACATTTGAACCCTCTTTGAGTCGAACTTGAAATAAAAAATGGAAATAGGAATAAAAGTTATTTTTCGCTGGATATAAAAATAAAGAATTGAAAAATATTAAAATTGGTTATCTTTCGGGCTTTAAACTGCGGAATGAAGGAGTTGACAGGATGCTGAACTTAGATGCAGTAATGGTGCATTTGCACAATTAGTCACTCAATTCCTTTTGGAAAGCTTCAATTTATATTTTTGAGCGGAAAAGCCTTCAAATGGGGAGAAGCACATTAAATTTTTCTTGTGGGAATTCAGACAGGGACCAAACGAGAATTCAACACAGGGAGGTTTTTTTTTTAAACTTCGGAGAGGTTTGATTTGACAAAATACCGCACAACCCCATTATTCGATTCAAAGGCCTTTAGAAAAGCATCGCGTCACATTTTAATCCTCTTTCATGAGCAGCTAGAAGGATACTTGAAAGCCGTTCAAAATTTTTAGTTATGCAGGTTTCAGAGGGAAATTCTTTGAGCTAGAGATGCTCATTTTACAGATATTGTTCTCAAAGGAATCCAGACAGGTCCTAAAAAAAATGGACCTAAGGACGTTCGAGTTATGGAGGTACAACTGCATTTTATACTTAACGCAAGACTGCTGATTTATTTTATGACCAGAGACGAAAAGTGTTTTTCCCTCGGGATTCTCTTTCAGCCCAGAAATCCCAGTCTTTATTTTGAATTCGGGGCACGTTTTCATTCCTTCTCCTCAGAGCAGATTACAAGCCCTTGCTGTCTGGAATGTCAAGCAGGTGTCGCCTGTACGACCCATCTCATCAACAATACCCCCCCTCATTCAAAATTATGCGACCTGAAAGAACCTTGAATTATTCAATGAAAAAGAGTTGGCCTGACGAAAGCGAGGCCAAAAAATCAAATTAGAGAAATCATAGAAATTCAGTAAAATGGCAAGAACAAAAGCAGGGATTTTGAGGGCTCGGGCGTCGCATTCAATGCGAAATTAAAATTATTCGTCGAATTTCAAAAGATTTGCTGCCACGTGCGCAACCTTCGAGACTCCAATATCCGATAGTTTTGCGGAGATGAAAAGCAGTCGCTTTCACCGCAAGTGTTCAACACATGGGGTGTCTTCGGGAAAGTGTCAGTCATGATGCCATTCTTCGAAAATATTCACCGCGAATCGATTCCTTCCTCCCCCCGCACCTTTTTGAGCATCCATGCATTCCATGCATGCAGATGCTTCAGCACCACATCCATTCGGAAAATCCATACGACGATTTAGTGCCAGCACACACTCGGGATGAATGCGTCGGGAAAAGTGAAAATAAAAGAATTCTAGCCCGGGGAATATCGCCGGATTCAAAGCAGCAGAACGTTTCCACGAGTCAAGATTTCGGAAGTGCTGTAACTTTAAAAAAAGTGGGTTTTGATAAAATAGGGGGGATTTGTTGGGGGGAGTGAGTCGGGCACCCTTAAATAATAATTATAATAATAAACCCCCGCTGCATTGCTGCATCCCAAAAACGGGTCCTTTGGTGGAAGCCCAGCACCAGAAAACGAGTCCCGAAGGAATTGTAGGACGATGCACAGCATTCGTCTTCAATTCAAACAAAATCAGCCGATCAGAGGCCAATATTTTACCCACAAGGATAACTACTTTCCTTCTTTTTCTTCTGTCTCAAAAAACCAGGAACACAGAATTCCTTCCACTGCCAATTCTTGAAGTGTGAAGAGCTCTTGAGACATCTGATTTTACTATTGTGTTGTGTGAAAGTATGTGTGTGCAAAGTTCAAAATTCTCTGAGTTGCATTATTCTTTGGGATATTATTAAATACTCAATTCTTTTGGGGCATCCATAAAGAGGCTCCCAGCCAGTCCCAGGCTGATTGCTGTGTTTCATTTATCATTCTCATATTTTCTTTGTTGAGACTTCTTAGTCTCTAACAGTAATTGCTCCGCCAATATATATAGGAAACCAGAACGGGAATTCAGTCGAGGTGTGAAATTTTTCATGATGCCAAACTCCCCCGTGAGTTTCGTTTGTTCACAATTTTTGAACCTGCGACTGTGGGTCACTTGCAAGTACAGTGGGGCCCCGAGATGCGGACGTAATCGGTGCTTGGACCATGTCGAATCGCATTTCTCCAATAGACTTGAACGAGAATATATTAACTTAGCTCTTCTCTTGATCGAAATGCGAAAAAATTCCACCAACAATTTGAAGAAAATTATTTTTCTCAACTTCAAAAAACAGAAAATATCAGCGCTGAAGAACACGAGACATAATCTGATATTTTGACCACAAATCTTCCTATACTGTGCTCAGTTGATGGAAAGAACTGTGAAAACATAAGCACAAAATTAGCCTGTTTTGGAGTATGAACTTCTGTGAATTTAAAACTAAATTTCTTTATAATTTTCGAGAATATAGAACGCCCAATTCGTTAAAGAAAAAAATGAAATAAAAATTACATTTTCCATTTGTCTGGAAATGTTAGTGAACTGTCCGTATATGGAGACATTTTCCGGATGCTAGGGAAGATTTTCTGAGTTATCATGTGTCCATAAGATTAACCGTCCATACGTCGGTGCCCCACAGTATTGGCGTCACAGAAACTTCGGTCAGCAAAAAAAAAGCGAGGTCTGTGAGGAATTGGAAATTTGAGAGAAAAATGAGGCACATGCATGAATAAAAATGTGAAAATTTTCTGGTATGTGAATATTTACCTTACAGGGCCTTAGAATCAGAAAGATTACCTTGATTTGGACTAACAATCGGCAGCTTGGCAACCGGAGAATTTCAAAATTTTCAACAATCAAATTTTTAAAATACAATACTGATTTCTGTTTTTATGTCGACTTTCATTTTGAGTAAAAAAAAAACCTTCGACCATTTCTGTGGTTTGATCTATAGTTGACTAAATTTGAATGTCCTTGTATTTTCCAATTCGTCGCATCGATTTCAAAAGCTTGAACTGGGTTTCCATGAAAGCAAATCTCAAAGAAAAAAAGGAACGAGCCGAAGGAGTAAAAATTTCCGACATAAAATAAACAAAATACTGTAACTGATGTATTTCCAGGTGACACTTGCAAAGCCTAACTGAAAATAATTATTGTGAACTACACATTCGAAGTGCCTGGTCTGAGTGTTCATGAACGCAGAAAACTTGGAAAACTGCAGAAATTGCAGCAGTTCGGGTAGTTTCCTTTTCGAAGGAGTTCCACAATGGATTTGAAGCAAATAACTGCCGCGAAATCGCCAAGAACAAAAACGCGTTGGTCCGAGATGATTGTGAATTTTATACAGATTGAGGCTAGATGTCGCTCGACTCACCTCGATGCCTGTTGGTCTGCTTGTCGAACATCAGCATCGCGTCTTCAATCTGAAAAAAATAAATAAATAAAGCATAAAATCGAAACCCATCAGCAATCAACGGACATTGCCGAGGACCTTCTCGCAATTTGTCAATTATTCAGGAATCCTCATTTTGTCAACGTGTCACACGAAACACAGGCAAATACTGCATTTTTCAAAGGGGATCCCCGTCACTTCGTCAGTCCTTTTGTTCCACAAAAAATGGGGGATACTCGCGTCAGCATTCCTAACGGATCCCCGTTGATTGAATAAATTCCAGAAACCTGACACGCATGTGAAGGAAACAGAAACTGAGGATTCTCTCTCACGCATGGAAGATGTTGAGAAAAAAGAAGCTGCCGAGCAAGTAGCTGTCAAGCTCAGGGATCCTCAAGGAAAAAGGGGATCCTACAGAAAAGGGGGATCCTCTGGTCCGACAGCCAGCTATTTTGTTTCGTGTCACGAGACATTCGACGCCTGTGGGAAACGTATCACTGCGTGGCAATCTTCCAGCCGAAGAGGGATCCCAGGACCCCTGACAAGTTTTTTCTCCCTTGAACTCGAACCTTCCATCACCTGTCCTCCAACTCCACGAAACTCTTTCCAATCAAACTTCGCCTCGAACTCGAAAAAATTATATTCGGGAATATTCTGGGACATCCTAGAATTGAATGCGAAAATTCTGGAACTCGGACATACAAGAAACAGTGTGATTTTCACACGGATGAACATGAATTTTCAAACTCTGAGATACATTCAAATATCATAATTGCAGTACAGAAGCAGATTATTATGATTACTGCTGTACAGTATATAGAAGCAGAAATCTCCAGTTTATCCTCATCACAGCACTTTAATCCCTCTCATTGTATCTGCAAGTCCATAATCAAAGGATATCAGGCTTTAAACGCATCATAGCATAATTGAGAAAATCCCCACACATGCATTTACATATTCTCAATTTAAAAAGTTCCTGAGACTTTCGCATCCATTCAATTATAATACAGTATCAAAGATTCGTCCACGATTGATCCAAATATGCAGTACTGAGAGATCCGACGAGGAACTCCTTGAAATTAAAGAACACGAAGGACAAACTTTTAATTAGAAATTTAGGAGTTTTACTTTTTCAACCTCTTGAAAAAAGTTACCTTTTCTAGGTAACTTCTACGCATTCTAGGATAGACCGGCTTTCAGAGCGGAAAAGGCTTTGTTTTTCCAACACCGTAGAAAGAATTGATTCGAAATAATTCGAATAAGTGGTGCAACAAATCTCAAGCATCTGAATTATTTGAGGTTTCGAGTAAGCCGGAAAATAATGATTCGGGACCTATCACAATCTACAGGCACGACCAGAATAGGGTCATGAATGAACAAACTAAACGCAGGGCAGGTCAATAAAACCACACATATTTTACAAGAAAATCCCCTGCCTGAATAAGTGAGGGGGAAACAAGCGAGACAGAACCCCTACGAATACCGAGACACGCAACACGGGGATCCCCGAATAATTGATCTCGTTGCCCCCATTTCCAGGATGAGAGAACCCGAATTTTAAACCACACTCAATGGGTAATTCTACCCGGGTTCGGTCGGTATTTCCCTTGGGACAGATTTTGGGAATTTTCCACCTGCCAGCTCCTGTCTTAATCAATCGGGATTTCTTCGAGGATCAATCTAGTCAAAAGATTTCTCGTAGCTGAGAGCGACTTTTTTTTTTCAAAGAGGAAACTCACCTTGCCAAACTGCTCAAAGTAGTTCTTGACATCCTCCAGAGTAGTGGGAGCAGACAAGCCTCCCACAAAGATCTTCTTTGTCCTGGTCACCATCTGCAAGAAAATTGCCAAGGAAACTTGTGAGAGAGACCGGAGTACCCCGATTAGTTTCCACAAAGTTCTCGGGTTTAATTTACCCCAACTTCTTGGGCTGTGAAATTGGTTCCCTAACCAGTTTCCCTTTTGCCCCCTCAGGAAAATAGCTGCTTATTGATTGAGACCCCAGGGAACTGCTTCCATTTCCCTTGTTCCCTCTGGAAACTTTTTATGGTATCAGGGTATTGCGCACATGGCACAAGCCACGAGTTTTGGTCAAACCAGGGAGAAAAAAAAATAGAAGTCTTCAGGGATTCTAGTCAAATAAAATCCCATCCACCCTCCGCACTCACACCAAGTACTCGACACTCTCAGAAATGCAATGTTCCCCCCTAGAAAGCCACTTGAATTTCCCCCTAGAAAGTCGTCGACCAGACCCCTTTCCATGCATTGTCGTGGGGCAGTTTTCCCCCCTACACCCTATCACAACATTAGATCATAATGCCCTACGCAAAGAACTGACGAGGGAATGTTACACTGATGTCTCAACGAATACATCTTTCGAAAGAAATGTCAGGGTGTCCACAAAAAAAAATAAATAAAAAGGCAGCAGTGATGAATGTGCCATACAGTTGAACCTCGATAACTCGAACCCCTCTACGTCGAATTTTTTCAAAGTCCCCATCTTAATTTCTTTAGAAACAATTAATTAAAAACCTCTCCAACTCAACGGCTGTCAAAAGTCGAATTTCTGGAGGACTTTCGGTAATCGATTTATTGACGCAGGAAAGGAGAAAGCAATAAAAAATGTAATCTGATGCGTTTTAAAGGGACGTGAAAGACTAAATTGGGCAAAGGAATCCTTCCCTCCATGTTCAGCACCCTTTCAAAACATTTACGAGGCATTTCAAGGCCCAGAATATCATCATTTAAAATTTTGGGCAATTCTTTTATGTTTCCCAGAACAAAAATGCTTGGTTCCGTAACTTAAAACCTCCGATAAGTCAATTTTTTTGCTGGTCCCTTGAAATTTGACTTGGAGAGGTTCAACTGTAACAAAAAACATTTAAGTCCACCTCTTTCCTTCTAGCAGAAATTTGAAAGAAAGTTTCGTAGAGTGAACTGCCACAAGACGTGAAAAAGCCCAAACATTAATCAGAAACTGACCAAATATTTTCTTGCCTGGGACACGGTCGATTTTTGTACACCCTGTTTCCCCCTCGAAGAATCACCAACCCCTACTCACACAGACTCACATTTAACTTTCGCTCATGCTGGTTTCTGAATCATAGAAAAACGCAACTTTCTTTTCTGCGAAATATTGTACCTCCATCCAATCATGAAAACCAAGCACTTCGATCATGAACCCCCCGCAACTATAACCACCCCCAGTAGCGAGCACAGGAAATGTCTACAGTTTCCCCAAGAACCCGAAAGAAAAGTCACCGCGGATGTGGGTCCCAGGGTACGGAAGATGACGGGAAAAAAAAGTTGAAAATTTCGGCTCCCACTCGAGCCTCGCTGTCCTCATGAGATTATACGAGATCACCCGGAATTCTCTCTATCTTTCTCCGTAAGCAAGGGATCCCTCGCGGCATCAGCGCATCCAGGATCCCTCTGGGACGCTAATTTCTGCAGTACTCTGACTCTGAACCGTGTCCCAGCATTTGTCACCAAACAGCAAAACGAGTGAATGCCTTTTGAAGCAGCGTAGGGACAGTCGAGCGCGTTTCGAAACAGCGCTTGACCAAAAGTGCGCGGGCAAAAATAAAGTCTTGATATTACACTTGTGCTGAAGAATTTTGCGCGTTTCCAATGATCAAACCGTTTAGAAAAGATACGTTAGTTAATTTATTCCCTTCCTTGTTTTTCTTCTTCCGGTTTTATCTCCACTACAGTATTTATTCGAAAAATTAGTAAAGTAAGTTCGCGTTACAACACAATTTTCAGTAAAACAAACTTTTTCTCAAGCCCCGAAAAAAAGCCCATAGGGTACATGTGAGAACAATCTTGCTATAAGCAACTTCTAGATCCTAGTAGAACAAACCTTTCTGAGGAATGTTCAATAGATTGTCCAATTAGAAAACCATCGCAGAATGAAGAAGAAATCGGGGCAACAAACGGAATGCATGCATGAAGATGAAATGTTTTTCAGAAGATCCTCAGTTTTTCAAAAAGTTATAAAGAGCCTGAGAATTCCATAAAAGCAATAGCTAAAAGATTATATAGGCAGATCTGATGTTCAAAAAATCCTGTCATTAACTCCGAAAATCTCTTTATAACAAATTATTCAATATCACACATTTTTTCCGAGATCCCCAAACGTTTGTTGTAACAAAATTTTACTATATCGAAAATGAGCACAACGATACGGATACTCGCTTCCACCCGAGCACAAGATTAAATAAAATTGGAATAGAAAAGATTCATCAGCAATTTTTTTTTTTTTTACTTTCAGTTTTTAAAGGATCACTCGCTGAACAATACATGAATGCGAATGAAGAAAAAAAGTAAATATAAATTCAGCGCTTTTGAATGATGATCCTCAGATAAAAAGTTAGAAATATCTTCAATCTCTCGCAAAGGTTCACCCCTTTGATACACACACACACACACACACACACGGTACTGTACTGTACTGTACTGTACTGTATAAGGAGAGGGGGGTTCTGGGACACGGTCATTTGCCACGGCACCCTCTGAAGCTGGCTTTAGTTCCGAGGAAAGCCCCGCTTTGATCCCGGGCTTCAAGGGAGCTATTTATGCATACCAAGCACACCGGCAATTACGTATGTACCGAGCAGCGATTTTCCCGGCAGGCCCGGGCAATTGGAGGAAATCAGGGATTCGGGTGAGATTTTTGTGAATTTTTCAACAGCTGGGGATCCCTGGGCCACACCCAACGATACGCGCGTTCAAGATTGATGAAATTCCTCCCCGCTGGAATCCCTGACGAGGATCCCAGCAGTTGGTGAATTATTCGCGCCCCCGACCCGGAGATATAAAAGGGAAAATAGCGAGGAACGAACCTTCGGATGCGCCCGTCTCGGAAAGGCGACTTTCGGGTCGATCTGGAAAAGAAGAAACACGGCGTTACACTCCGAGGATCCTTTCCGGGGGATCCTTCCCAGGGCACAGGAAAACCAAACCTTTTTGCCGTCCAGCTCGTGAGTCCCGATCGCCAGGACTTTGTCGACACTCCCTGGATCCTGGAACGTCACGAATCCGAATCCCCTGGAAAAATAAGAAGAAGAGAAAAAAGAAAGCGACATGAGGATTCCGCTCTAGACTCGCTCCGGGTTCCTTGAGGGATCCCATGGTAAAAATTGCGGCATTTGTTTGAACTCGAGGAAAATCAATGGAGTCGATTCCATTTGCCTCGGGCCTTTTTCCACCCCTAAAACCCACTTGATGCGAGGGATCGATGCAAGTGTTTCCCTGGGACCCGCTCTCTTTCCAGGCGCCATTACATTAATGAAGGTGACCTGGCCTGAATCACTGCCTTTTCAAGCATCTAACGACCCTCTTTCCAGTCAGAAACATGGGCGTCCATCTTGGAGGAATCCTTTCCAGGAGATCATTTCTCCAGGTTCCCCCCTCGGAAAGAGAAATTTTTCCGGCCGAAAAAGCAAACCTTCCCCTACATCTGGACAAGCGAGCGGAAAACTTCTTTTCTGCTTCAGCAATCACCTCGTTCCAGCACTTTCCAGATATGCGCAGAATCTTTCCGGATCAATAAACATCAATCTTCATCAGCAAGTTACACTCGGGGGATTTCGCAGAGAGGGAACACAGAAAAATACTCCTGAAACGCGTCGGAAAAGCCCTCGGAATTCACAGTTCCTCGGGAGAGAAACATGCACAAAACTGCCTAGAGAACCGGAAAGAGCCTGTTCACAACTTTTCCAGGCAGTAGCAACTAATACACGGGCATCGGATAAAGTTTGAGGGCCCCGGAAAGTCTTCGGAATGTTTCCTAAACAGGAAAAGTCTTTCCAGAATCTGATTGCTCCTCGTCTTCGTATTCAGTGGTGGAAAGTTTTGTCAGGAACACAACTTTCTGCCACATAATTCTCCAGCGAGTCTGGAGTTTGGAAAGACTCTCCACTCTTCAAGAAAGCAACTTCTGGATAGTCATCCATTGATGAAAATCACTTCTCCACACGCAAAATCATTCAAATCTCTCGACGAATTCGCGTATTTTACTTCCAAGAAATAAACCCTAGTAAAATTCTGAAAAATATATTAAATTGAGTATTTAAAAAAACGAGTAGTCGACTATTGAAGAATAATTATTTCAGAATGACCCGGGAACTGTATAAAATATATACCCATATTTTTTTGGAATACTTTACAATATTTCGATCAGAAAACCTTCTGGTTATTGAGAACCCCGTCATCTGCTCTTCCGAAAAAATCTCCACTCTGAAAATTCTGAAAAATATATGAAATTGAGTATTTAAAAAAACGAGTTGTCGACTATTGAAGAATAATTACTTTAGAATGACCCGGGAACCGTATAAAACATATACCCATATTTTTTTGGAATACTTTACAATATTTCGATCAGAAAACCTTCTGGTTATTGAAAACCCCGTCATCTGCTCTTCCGAAAAAAATCCTTTTCGAGCGAGGGAATCTGGTGGGACCTTCTGGAGCCACTTTCTGCCTCAAGAAAGCTTCCTTTTTTTCAGCTAAGAACCCTTCGCAATTACTGACGAAGTGGAAGACAATCTGGAGGCTCATTTCCAGACGTTCCTTTTTCGGCGACGGTCACAGCTTCGAACAGGGCCCACCAGTACGAAATAGTACCATGTCTCAGGAAGTGTTCTTCCAAAAAATGTCAACAAAATATGATTCAGCTCAATAGAGTATTCTTTGCAGGCTTAAGATGTTTCTAGAAAATCTGACCCGATTCGACACACTGCACGGGATTCCTTGCCTCCTTTAAAAATAATTGTCCACCATGGTTATTAAAAATACGTAATTATATTATTTTCGCAATTGGGCCGCATGGGAACCCCACAGGAAGATTTCTCAAAGATACTGGATTCCCAAAGTTGGCAAAATTCGCGAGGATTTTCTCTGGCTGAATTTACAAATTTGCAAATAGAATAAAAACAATATCTGCATTATTCGAACGAATTTCTGGAAATAAAGTGATCAGAGGGAGTCATTAATTCAAGTATTTTTTGTTTTCAATTTAAAATTTCCCCAAAACTGTTAATCATAACCTTTCGTACACATTAATTCTCGGAATCACCCGTCGCACAAACAAATCCATTTTAATTTTGATGAAAATTACCAACAACTGCTTGGTATTCCTCGAAGTAGAAATAACGTGACCCACGCGTTTTCCCTTCCTTATTTCTCGATAATCGCGTCAATAATCGCAACATGCAGCTTAGAAAAAGAGGCTTCCACTCAGATAGAGTGGAAAACACGGTATAAAGAACGCTCAGAAAGGAATCAGAAGTCTCTTATTAATCCTCCAATCAATCGGGCATGAATTCACGAATCGCTCGCGCAAAAGCAATCCCATTTCAAAAAGCCCTCCCCTTTCCCAAAAAAAAAAAATAAACCATCTCAACCAGAAATAGACGATCGAATCAATAATAATTTCGGACAGAGATGATTTCACTATCAGCAACAAACCTTTCAGCACTCCGAGACAGATTACTCTTTTACGGATGCATAATCTGACCGAAAGGCTTCCTGATAACTCGATTCATCTTGTTCAACGCGATCAAAAGCTTTGGCTTCGTTTATCTTTTTTTTTTTTTGCTTTCTAGATGAATAGAGGGGAATGAATACGAAGCAGAAGCGAACAGACGCAGCCTCGTTCTGGAACAGGAACCTGTGTCAGTGATTTCCGAACTACAGCAGTACCGACCGTCGTGAATTTATTCCTACATATAAAATTATTCCTTCGGGAGAACATCAGAAGAAACCATCCAGTAAGAGCTCGATCAAAAGAGCCAGGGCACAAAAGAGCGTGTATGATAACTGGAAAATTCGCAATAGAAAGAAAAAAAGCTACTTATTAAGATTAGATTATGTTCGGTTGCAATCATTTATGTCAGGTGATAATTAAAAGTATACTTGTGTCTCTTCCTGTGCGTCCTACTTTCAATTTTTGAAGTCTGAAGTTCAAGAGATCAGCAAAATAATTCGAGTTTGGGTGGTTTGAAGTTGAGGAAACAAGCATTTTTGTCGGGGAAAATGAAGAAGAATTACAGAAATGTGTAACTGATGATATTCTGGGCATTCAATTGCTTCTTAAATCAGTTGACAGGATGCTGAACTAGGAGGCACGGGTTCATTTGACCTATTAGTTTTTCATACTTCATATCCATTTCAAAAGCATCAACGACATTCTTTGATTTTCCTTTTCCTGTGTCAGTAAAATAATTACCGAAAGTCCTTCAGGAAATTCGACTTTTGGATGCTCGAGCCTTTGCATTTGACGGAGCTTTTTAATGCATTGATTCCAAGGAAATTCAGACAGGAACATGAAAAGATTAATTCGACTTCGGGAGGTTCGAGTTATTGAGGCTCGATTGCATAACATAATTATGTTGTTAATCAAAAAGAAATGGTTCCAGTCTAACGTGTTTGAAAATGTCGGCTATGGTAATCGACCTTCGCGGGTTTCACAATTTTGCGCGCATAAACGTCATGCGCGTATTTTTAAACGTTGTTAAAAAATTGGCGATAAAATCAGATCATGGTCTTGGTGTGTGTGTCTGTGTGCGTGTGTGGGTTCGGATACTGGAACCTTGCAAAGGTCCAGAACACGCCTGGGATCAAAAGAGAGAAAAGGAAGCAGATTCGGAAAACTGGGGGGGACAAAAAAAGGAAGCAGGGGAAGGAGTAGCAGGTAGAGGAATCTGGAAAGTACTGGTCGGGGTTCTGGAAAGTGGCCTGGATCGAGAGGAAGGGCGAAAAGCGGCCTGCCAGAATGTTTTACACGGGATTCGACAGCACGAGGGGGGGGGGATCTCGGAGACGCGCGCAGCGAGGGACGGATCCCCCGAAGGATCCCTCGTTCTCTCCCCGAGAGCAGGAACAGGAGGAGAGGCTGTGGGGAGGCGAAAAAGGAGGATTCAATCAACGACACGAGGGCGTGGGATTCCGGCAGTGAATCGGGATCGATAGGAGGCCTCCCGACGGGCGACAACGTCGACGTCCACGACGACCACCGCCGTCGCTGGCGAAGAAGGAGAACAAGAACAAGAAGAGGAAGAAACGAGAACAAGAAAGCAGTAGTAGTCGTAGTGAGAAACAGTATCTCCACTCCAACCCCCTCCACTCTTCCATGAGCCGGTTTTTTTTTTCTAGAAGGAGAAAAAAATGAACTTTTGGGGGATCCTCGTCCGCACACGGAAAAATCTTCCTTCTCGCCACCTTCACCCAGAATCACGCATTACTATTTCCCAGTTCTGGAACACACTTTGGCAACCCTTGAACTCATTTCAGACGCATCGATGCTCTCGACCGTATAAAAGTTTTTCTCATCATAACCGAAAAAGTCTCGAATTTTTCTCAGGGTTCGCTCTTGACGACAATTTCGTCCGCAGGCATTTTCAACGCGCAGCTTTCTATAGAAAAAGTAGGTGCAGTTTTTTAATCAAAATGCACATACAGTATATTATATACGTACAGTATACCAGTATTTATGTATATGACATATATATTTCATTCATGGTACAACGAATTAATCTCCGTCCCTTCAAACATCATACGTGTACTTTTACGACAGACACTTCACAAATGATCATAATACCTAATCAACCTGGAATTCAAAAGAATCTGGAACATTCATCTAGAAATCGTGTCAAAAATTTCTTGGCTTGATACACATTCAGTGATGGATTCAAGACAATGAAAACAAACACATAAAATACGAAAACTTAATTATTCCTGAGTCCCGGGTTAGAACAGAGAATCTTTTCAAAAGAGATCGTAACTCAGTGCTCAACTAATCATTCCAAGAAAAAGATAATACTTTGAGGATTATGTAACATTCATTTCAAATCGCTAAACTGCTGTCGGTTTCGTGAAAATTACCAGATTTCGAATTATTAAAAAAGCATACCACGGCTAATGAAAATAATATGTGATTTCCTTCGCTCATTCAAAGAAAAATTATTCTCTCGGATACATTCAAACATTAACGATAAGAGGATTATGAGCTAATGGATAGTTACAATGGGGTGAAAATGAAGAATGCCAATTTCCGATGAAAATTCATAACCCCAACATCATTTCC